ACATGAACATGATTAAAACGGCACCAGTTTAAACTCATGAGGCAAAGCCCACGCTTTTTTTTTTAGGTAAATGAACTGGTTAGACCGAAAGCTAAACAAATAAACAACGAACTAACAGCGGTGAGGGATTTGGGGGCCATGTGATAAAAAGGTTCTACCGAAGTTTATCCTCTAGTCAGCACTTCAAGCTCAGAAAGGCAATTAAAAAAATTCTCACCAAAACACAGCAACAAAGTAAGATAAAACCAGAGATGATTGAGGCACGACTACAACCGTTGTTAAGACACATGCCTACATACCATGTACAACAGACTTGGAGAGCAAAAAGGCCAAAGACAGTTGTGAGCCATGACTTGGAAAATCCATCTCAACCTCCAAAATCCTATCATCAGTCTCAACTAAGGGAATTTGCCAAAGATCGTAGTAAGAGAGACTCAATCCTGAAGCTGGAACATTTTTTAAAGACTTATGTTCTATGTGACTACAAAGAGAAAGAAATGACGATGTTATTTGATGTGATTGGAAGCTTGGGGGCCACCTCGAACTTAACGCAATTCTATTTCAAAGTTGAAGTAAAAGAAGATCAAATCCTAAATTACCTTCTATTATCGCAACGAATATCTCACGATCGTCTCCACATACAACTTCGTGATTCACAGAAGTAAGACATCAACATCTTAAGACTACCCTTCAAGGTTTGTTGTCCCATGTGCACATCTTGATCGTCAGTAAATCTAATCTCAAACTTCAAGTTTTCGGCCTTTTTTCGCGTTTAGTTCGCACTTTGATCATTGAAAAATCCTCATCCGAAGAGCCAGCAAACTCCACGAGTATCCACAGAGGTAGAAATGGTGGTAATATTGTCATACTCTTCCATCCCTCTCCAAAAAATATTGCAAAAAGGAGTCGATCGCCCAGTTGAAAACCCGGGGAAGGGCGCTCAAAATATCAAAACGATGCCGAACACGCCGAACAAATTTTATAGGCGCATGCGCAGACGAAATGCCCCTCTGCTGATGTAAACGAGGTGTCACTGTTGAATATTTAATTTTATCACATAAACTGCGATGTTCTACAGGGATTTCTGGCAGTGAGAAAAGCCATAACAAGACACGTGAAAAAACATTGTATTTTCCCACGTGTGTTGATATAGCCAATCAGCTGACACGTCACTCGCCTTTGGCGCCACTCGGTCAGGTTGATTAATGAATGGCAAAGCCTTCACGATTCCCAATACAAGTTGTTTATCTGAGCTTTCTCGAATTATGGTAGCTAAAACACTAAAAAATCCGTATCGCTGACAGACGGTGAGGTTCAAACTTTCCTAGAAGGGGAATAAAACCAATATACTAAAAGAAAAACCGAAAGTTACGTATTCGGTGGCTTTGGTGTTAGCATTTCTCTCGGCTGAGAATGAAAATCGACAACAGGAAAATTTGCCACTAGCCGATTTCAGCCGTTTACCTGAAAGACTTCTTCTGTCGGTTAGTGCAAAGTCAATAATGAGAATTTTGTAAATTGAAAATTACGACCATTTTTGCTTTT